GAAAAAAACGTTCATTATTGCTGCAACATTTCAATAAAGTGCATACGAATTTTTCTTGAAAAAAGTTGTAATTGTAAAGGTTTTTATGAACATTTGTAAAGTGTGCAACGTATTAATGTGAATATGTAGTTGAAGTGTTTTTTAAATGGCTGTATTTTTATTCTTTTACAACGTTACCAATTATACACCGAGGTTTTTAGAAAACAGAATCTGAGTTTGTACTGAAGAGGGACTTAAATTACAATTGAGTCCGAAATGCATATGACAAATCAATAAAGGAAGTTCATAACCTGAATGCTGTATATGATAGTCTACCGAACTGAAAATCGGATTAAAGAGACAAATTCACAACGAAAATAGCAGCAGCCATAAGTGATATTCATTTGAAAATTGAATTCAAAAATTTAAAATAAAAAAATAAAACAAGAAATTAAAGAAAGAAAGAAACAAGGATTATACAGGTTGAAGTCATCTTTTTTCATTTAGAAGATTATTGGTCAGAAATCAAAATCATTTAGAAGAGCTCATATTCATATAGGCATAAATAAAGCATAATATTAATTATATTCTGCATTTATACAATCTTACTCTCTCTAAGACAAGTTTCAGGATTATTTAAATAAAATAATAATCATAATGCAATTTAACCATTTCGGTTTTAGTAAACTGAGATTAAACAAAGCAGTCATTTCCATTAAATGGCATTTAAATTCCACAAAAAATGAAATTCAATATTGAGGTCAGAGAGGCAATTGCTCATGTCTGACTGACACACACACAAACAAACAATACTCAGTGATACTGTGAGGATTGTTTTTAACAATTTTAGCAAAAAACAACAATTTTAACAAAATTACAAATGTGGTATTTCAAAAACACTGTTGTTTTTTAATACTAATTGAAATTTTTAAAAAATAAGTACAATTTTAATTTTTTTAAAATGAAAAGTATATTTAAAGTACAAGCAATTATTTATGCCACAATGCTAGACTACAATTTTTCATCACACTGCACTTAAGTTTAGTAGTGTCTTCCCCTGTACATCATACTTTTCCTAACAATAGTCATGCTGGTCATCTAACTCCTTTCAAGGGAAAATTTTTTAAATTAAAATAATGTGACTTCCGGCCAAAGCAGAAGTTTGTATATAGTTAATCAAGCCTCCTGCCAGCTTTCCATATCTGAACTTGACTTTTATCTATCTAACACTGTTCTAAAGATTAAGGAAGGACAGACAGATAAACAAACAACAGTGGGAATTTATAGGGCTACAATTTTTTTTCAAATTGCAGCCCAATAAATATATTATATTTAATTTTTCCTTTACATAATATATTTTAAAAAAGTAATGAATATATTTAATAATTTAATAGCAAAAGAACTTTATATTATTTATTATTAAAAAATTAAATAAATAGTTTATAAATCGAATGTTTTCTAAACAATAAATTAACAACACTGTCAATTTATTTATCAAGAAATTGATCAACATATCTTACACTCAATTTTAATTTTACTGCTAATATTAAACCTGTTAGTAACGTTAATTAATTTTGTGACTATGATTATAATAAACTGAATGGAAAACATTCAATAAATATTAATTATAAAATAAGACAGTCTATTTAATGATTTAAATGTAATAAATTTTTGCAATTAAGAATCTATACAACATTAAAATCTCAAGTATTTTCAATGATGAATTTGAGAGAAATTAACAAAAATATTTAAGAGAAACTTCTATTAAATTTCTTCAACAATAATTGTTATTTATTACTTAAAGACTTATGAATTATTTAATCAATTATAAGAATAGCTACTACTACATCAATCACCATTGACTGATTAGTTGTGACAATTACTGTAATAAATAATAAAAAATACTTTAAAAAAATTTATTTGAATCATTGATTTCTTACTAAACACTTATAATAAATTCATATATTATTCAATAATTTTCATATTATATTTTAACTTACCACTTTATCGTTAGATAAAACTAAATTCTCATTACATTTCTCAGAGTTATCACTTTTATTTAACACTTTTTCTTCTTTTTTAATTAATTGAATATTTCGATGTAATTTTCTTCCATTATTTGAAACGTTTTTATGAGGTAAATCCACTGTATATTTTTTACATTTTTCATTAAAAAATTTTGGAGGATTATTTAATTTTTTTAATTTTTTTGAGAATATTGTAAGCCAATTGATAAATTTNTATCTTACTTCTAATCGTATTCAAATATAGCACTTTAATTTATAAAATTATTTAGAATTGAAATATTTTTATTTTAAATAAGTATGCTTAAAAATAAGTTGTTTTCAACTGTCTACTATGAAAACAAATCAAGATATTATTAAGAAGGAAAGGCTAAATGCTATAGATTCACATGAAAAGAAGAAAAAATCATGCAATTTAGTGTGCTAATATGAATCTGAAGTCATTCTTCTATTACCCACAGAAATTTTAAAAATACCTTTTTTTTTTTTTTTGCAGAAAAATGACTTTAGAGAAATTTTCTGTTACTTTTATTTGAATAAAATATAAAATCAGCAGCAAAAACTTTTGGAGAAACAAGTTAAGGTGTCCTGTTACAAAAAAGGAAATCAGAAAATGTGAAATTTTTTCAATGGAAGAGAATTTCATTTTTTGCAATGATATATTGCATTTGTTGGAAAAGCTTCAGCTGCCACAGGATCCTGCAGAGTAGAGACTCTTTATTGGCTCATCAAATTTTTCTGCACAATGGCAACAAACATCCATTCATACCAGTTGCTCATGCTGTTCACATGAAAGAAACCTATGACAATACTGCTCAAAGAATTGCAACTGAACACAATAAAATATAAGAAGAATAAATGGAATGTGTGCTGACTCAGGTTGTTGCAAAGCTAATAGGTCTTCAAGGATAATACACTAAAATTCGCTGGGGTTTTTTTTTTTTTTTTTTTTGTGAATGGGACAGCTGAGCAAGAACCAATCACTACTTGATATAAAAGTGGCCCAATTGTACAGTAAACATATAAGATCAGAAGAATATTGCTTTTCCTGTTCTGATGGAAAAAAACTAAAATCCTCTTACCTCCTCTTCATATCAAGCTCAGTTTGATGAAAAACTTTGTGAAAGGTACACACAGAGAAGTAGGCTTTGCTTAACTAAAACAAAAGTTTTCTTACCTGAGCCATGCAAAAGCAAAGCAGGAAATTTTGTTGGTTCCCACATAAGACAGCTTTTGAATGACCCTAGTTTCAGGGAAAAACTTAACCCAGTGGAAAGGTTAGTGTGGAACGCATTTGAAAATGTGAGCACAAATTTTTTGGAGAATGTATAAGTTAACAACTATGAGGAAATTGTTGATAAGTTGTTAATGTTCTACCAAACACTGGGTTGCAATATGTCACTCAAGATGCATTCCCTGCATTCCCATTTAGATTTTTTCCCTGCCAAACTAGGACTGTTTCTGATGAACATGGAGAAAGATTCCATCCAACTCTTTCTCAAATGGAAAAGCTGTATAGAAAGTGGAACAAAAACATGCTAGTAGATTACATCGGGACTCTAAAGTGAAAGACTTCAGAAGAATAAAAAAGAAACATGTCATCAAAAGTTTCAGTTTTTAAATGTATATAATTATGAAAAAGGAATAATCAGCAAACTTATTTGTATCTAATTAGCCAAGTAGCAATGTGCCTAGCCAATAAATATATTTTGAACAGAAAATGTTTTCCTTCAAAACTCTCATTATCAAAAGTGGTGGGTGTTAGGCCAATTCTGTTGCCAGATTCAGATTCAGCACCATTGAAACAATAAAAATCAGTGATAATGATTCACAAAAGTAAAAATAAATTTTTTGCAGAACAGTGTTACTTTTTATTTGAATTACTACTAATTACAATGAACAATAAATTACACATCATTTTTAAATCATACTGTATTTTTTTAAAGCAACAATAAAAAAACAATATTAATTTTTCAAATGCATTATTATTGATACAATACCTTTTGTTCTTGAAGCTTTCTCTTTCCAAACAAAGACTGTAGCAATTGTTCTCTTAAAACTTTATCATCAATATCATCTCTAGAGAGTATACCTAATTATTGAAATAATGAAAAAATGTAAGTATAAAAATTACCTCAAAAATTATAAATTTATTAATTAAATAAAACATTATGGAAAGCTTAAATATCAAGCCAATATTACATTAATGTACAAGTTTGTTAATCTCGCATCCAATAATTCAAAACTGGCCTATAATCTAGCAAGCTAATATTCTATAAATCATAATTTGTTTGAACACATGATGCAGACTCACTATACAAAGAAAGTGAAGAAATATAAAAATTAGGCATCGTAAATATGTTTGAAAGAGTCAAAAACAAACTTTATCAGAACACAATCTTGTGGAAGAAGAAGACATTAATGATCCAAACCCAACAGATGAAGCATTTCCATCAATGTTAATGTTGTCTCAAAAATAATCAAAATGATGGACTTCGAACTCACATTTGAGTTATAAATAAACACTTGGCTTTATTTCCATCATTTTTGTTAAATAATGAGTTATAAATAAACATCAAAGTGTTTATTTATAACTCAAATGTGAGTTCGAAGTCCAAAATATTCGCAAAACACGGTTTTGAAAACAACATAAACACAATCAAAATGATTTCAAACTCCCATGCAGCATAATTCAGTAAACTATATATGGTTACATTGTATTGTCCCAAATGAATATTGCTTTATTAGTGCTAGTGAACATTTTGCATGACTGATCTATTTTTTCCACAGGTCAACGCAAGAACAGTACAAGAACAATAAGAAGTTTGTCGTACTCCAAATGTAATTTGTGGTGTAACTATGGTAACCTTTGTGAACAGTGATGACATTCGAAATATTTAACAAAGGGTTCGCTAACAGAAAATTTTTCCTTAACAATTTTTTTTTCGCTCAAATGGTGCATCGGAAGCCTCTAGTTTAGTAGTGTTACAGAGTATAATACGTATATTTTANTTACTTACCTCTAAACTACACATTTTTACCATTTTCAAATCTGCAGCTGCCACTTTTTCTGCAGCAGCAAGTTGTTCTTTTAATTGTTGAACTTTATTATAAGCAGATCTTGCAATAGCTTTCTTTTTTAATAATTGTAATTGCAGTAATCCTAATTTCTCTTTATCTTTTTTCAGTTTCAATCTAAATTTTATTTAATTTTATAATTTTACTACTTAATCAATTTAATTATTGTATTCTTAATTATATGTAATTACAATAAAATCTTTAATAATTATAATAATAATCTTGTCACACAGTTTTAAAGATAACATCAATCTTTTTCGTTTAGTTTACGTTTCTAATTATATATTTCTTAAAAAATAACTTGAACAAAAATAATTTCCTGCCAGTATTTTAAAAAGTGTGTATGTCAACTTCAAAGATGTGTGCAGTGATTTATCTTTTCTCACTTGCAATCTTGTTTTGATATTATTGATCTTGAATACATCTCTCTTATTTCTCTTTAAATTGCCCAATTAACACAGAAATTATAAAAGGTTAAAAAAAAAAAACAAAAGTTACATAAATATATTTTAAACATTATAAATAATTTTGGTAAAAAAGAAATTCATCATGTTAAAAAGTATTAAATAATTTTTCATGTAAAACCTGCTTTATTTATTTTTACAAAAATTTTTATATCTGTGTAATAGTTATGAATAATAGTTTTTCTATGAATAATTCTTTCATTCAAACAGTTGAAAAAAGAATTAGAATAACGATATCTGTGTACAGCTAAACAAACACACTACAAAAACATCACATTCTCATATGACTACTTATTTCACTATTTTCTATCAGACATATTTAATAAAATACAACAAATTTTTCATTTTTCCAAACATGTATTTTATGCTATATGAACATATTTACATTACTTTCATGTTGTAAAAAGTGTATCAAATTTTCTATCAAATATAAAATCTAATGCAACAGAATATAAATTAATAATCAAAAGAAATTATGTCTATAGACTATTGAATACATTAGGAAATGCCTAAGAAATTTTAAAATATGAATAGAAATAAAAATTGATAAAAGTACAAGAATGCAATTTTCATTATAAGAATGAGTACTTTTAAACAATCTCTCTAGTTTTCACAATTTTAACACACTTCAATTTGTGTTCTCTTTGTTACTCATAAAATGTCCATTCAAAAATTTCCAACTTCAAATTCCTAAAAAGTGTTGCAATACATTACAGATGTGATTCTTTCTAAATCATGGATAATGCAGTTTTTCAATTCATGTAAAAATTGAGCTGTAAATAATAGATCTTATCATTTGCTCATTTCCAAAGAATTCACTGGCATTAAATCTTGCAATGCTTTCTGGGAATGGATGTTATAATAGATAATAATAAAGGATATTCAGATAAGTAAAAATGTTGAAAAGAAAAAAAAAATGGTTTTGAACTGCTATTTCATGTTGTGAAAAATTGCACTCTTTGTTATATTTATTTTCTTAATAAATTAACTAAAATAAAGCAGCTGTACTTGTAATTGGCATAATAAGTCTGTTTTAGGTTTAATATGTTGAGAAAATCTAAATTTGCAAGCTTTTCTTTATACAAAAAAAACATATTGAAAGGGAACTTTTACATTATTAATAGCTAGTTTCAAAATTTTTGAGTAGCAATTTGAAAAAATTGTAGACCTATAAATTCCCACTATCATCCATCAGACGGTCTGTCCCTCCTTAATCTCAAGAATGGAGTTAGATTGATGAAAGTCAAGACCAGATATGGAAAGCACAGGGGCAGGAGGCCCCAATTAACTACAGTAGAGTGTCGTTTATCCGAAGGTCGGTTATCCAAAGGAATTCCAGTTGACAAATTTAAATTTTCGCCAGTGCTGTGGCGCTGTAATCTTTGGCTATGTCTTCGGCTACTCAAATGTTTTACGTTTTTGATATTAAATTAACTTCTGAAGTATAATTTTTTATTGTTTTTATATTTTTCAATATATTTATTTTGTTTGTACAAAATAAAAAAATAATTTTTAACGATACAATAGTCTTC